CAGACCTGGGATGGCTGCTGTCTCAGGAGCCTCTTCTTGGGTATGGACATTTGAGAACTTCAGATTCTAACTCAGCCTCATAATCATCATTATTAGTTATAGCCCATTCAATATGTGTGAGGTCCCTTAGAACCCCAGTCCCCAATCCTACCATGTCTTCTTTCCCCTTCATTTTCTTCACAGTTCCTTCAGTATCCCAGCCCCTGATTTTATTCTTGTCCCCCAGGAAACCAGAGTTGTGGAGCCAGGATGAAATAGAGCAAGCTGGACGCCTAGTGTTCACTCTGTCTACTGAGGCGATTTCCTTGATCCCCAGGGTGAGGTGAAGGAACAAGGGAGGGAGTAAGAACAGAGAGGGAACTGGTGAGCTGGTCCTGGGGAATAAAGCCCAAGGAAGTTAAGGGCAGAGATTGTGAAGCCTGAATTTGGGGGAGACTGTTAAAAAGAGACAGGACTTTGGAATTAGAGCTGCAGCAGCTGGACCTGACCTGCCCAGGTCTCCCCACCTCCCCTGTACCTTCTCACACAGGAGGCCTTGGGCCCAGAGACCCTGGAGCGGCTCCTAGAGAAGCAGCAGAGCTGGGAACAGAGCAGAGCTGGACAGCTGTGTGGGGGGCCACAGCTTGCTCCCAAGAAAGCAGCTCTGGTAGCTGGGATTGTACGGCCCACTGCAGACTATCTCCCAGGTGAAACTACGCAAACACTCATACCTCTAGCAGAGTGAACAGGAAAAGGTACACAAAAATGCAGTCAGAAGTCAGGGCTTCAAGTGTGCTGTGCCCTTTGAGCAGATTTGTACACGTTCTGCTCTCTGGGCTTGGGCTTCCTAATATATATTAGGAAGCTTTATATAAAGCTCAGAGGTTAAAAGGATGATCTTCAAGGTCTATTCTAGTTCTAGACTCCATAGCTCTGGTAATTTATAACTCATTACATTGTTAGCCCAGGACTCCCCTTTTTCTGCTCTCTTATCCCTGTTAACAGCTGACTCAGCTCTAGGCTTGGCTAAATGTGGTGGAGCTATCTGCTGGGAAGATGCTTAGGATGTAAGAAGGAGACACTCTGGGGCTAGGGATCTGGGTTCTAATCTCAATCTGCCATTAATACCTAGGCAATCCCCTCAGTCTTCCATCTATATAAGGTGGGGATTGTTCTCTCCAGTCACTTGTTCTAATAACCTATGTGTCCCGTAAATCGCTCACTATTGTAATCCCTTGACCCATACTGCTCCTGCTCACATTGACTTGTCCTCTAAAGGTTGGAAGGGTCATATATATATATATATATACACACACACACACACACACACACACACACACACACACACACCCCTTAATACTACACTGACCCTAACCCTGCCTTCCTCCTTCAGAACCTGTGCCAAATTGTGCAGATATACGGGGGACGTTTCCAGCAGCCTGGTCTGCAACTCAGATTGCAGAGATGGAGCTTTCAGACTTTGAGGACTGCCTGGCACTATTCGCAGGAGACCCAGGACTTGGACCTATGGAACTTCGGGCAGCAATTGGCAAGGCAAAACAGGTTAGGGATGGGAGGACAATTGAGGTTGGAAGTGGAAAAACATGAGAAAGCTGGTTGAGTGTGGTGTGGGACACAAGTGAATGGATAGCTGGGTAAGAGGTGGGGAAATAGGAAATCAAAGAATTAGAGGAGCTGGTACATATATACAATGGAATATGACTCAGCCATAAAAGAAAATGAAATCTTACCATTTGCAACAACATGGATGGATCTAAAGGGTATTATGCTAAGTAAAAATAAGTCAGAGAAAGGCAAATACTGTATGATTTTACTTAGATGTGGAATCTAAAAAACAAAATGAACTAACAAAACAGAAACAAACTCATAGATACAAAGAGCAAATTGATGGTCCCCCGATGGGAGGGGAATTAGGGGGGCAGGTGAAAAAGGTGAAGGGATTAGAAGTTACAAATTGCCAGTTATAAAAATAGTCACAGGAATGTAAAGTACAGCATAGGAAATATAGTCAGTAATGTAATAACTATGTATGGTGTCAGATGGGCATGGGACTTATCTGGTGATCACTTTGTAAATTATTTAAATGTCTAATCCCTACATTGTACACATGAAACTAATAATATTGTATGTCAACTGTAATTAAAAATTTTTTTTTAAGTTTTGCAAAAAAAAGAAGATTTGGCTCCTGAGTAGAAAGTCAGAGGGGATGAATATTAAGGAAAGAAAGCTAGTGCAATAGGTAAAGGGCCTAGAGCAGTGGTTACCAAACTTTAGTGTGTATCAAAATCATCTGGGGAGCAGGTGTTTGGAATGCTGACACCAGGATCTCAGGCTAGACTCACTGAAGAAGACTCTCTGAGGAAGGGGTCTGGGTATCTGGATTTTAACAGGATCTCTGGTGAGTCTGGTGCACATAATAGCTTAGAACTCATGGATTATAGTCTACTATCTTCCTACTGAGACTCTAGAATCCTTCAATGATAGCTTAATCAGAGGAGCTTTATTCTAATCCTTTTTTTTTTAATTAAAAAATTTTTTTTTCTTTATTGATTTTAGAGAGAGAAGAAGTGAGAGGGAGAGAGATAGAAACATCAATGAGAGAGAACATCGTCTGGCCACCTCCCGCATGCTCCCCACTGGGGATTGGACCCACAACCTGGGCATGTGTCCTGACAGGGAATCAAACTGGCGACTTCTTGGTGCATGGGTTAATGCTCAACCACTGAGCCACATTGGCTGGACCAAACCTTTCATTTTACAGTTGAGGAAACTAAGACCCAGAGAAGGCATGTGATTTGCCTCAAGTTACACAGCCAAGGTCAAAGGCAAGATTAAGACCCAGCATTCTGACTCTTAGTTTTCTGCTTTTTTCCATTCACATTGTTCCTCTTTCTCCATAGTTGTGGGGTCCCCCATGGGGATTTCGTCCTGAGCAGATCCTCCAGCTAGGACGCCTCTTAATAGGTCTAGGAGAGCGGGAACTACAGGAGCTAAACCTGGTGGACTGGGGAGTGCTGAGCACCCTGGGGCAGATAGATGGCTGGAGTTCAGTCCAGGTAACACCTTTCTTCCTCCCTACCACCTTCCAAACATCGATCCCTCAAGTCCGGTCATTAAGTCATCTAAAGCCCAGGAAATTTTTCCTGTGACTCTGGCCATTGTTTTGATCTTTTCTTAATATTCCATACTAGTAGCCTTAGAAACTCTGTGATTTATTCATTCTGTGGTCCTGGACACATAATACTCTTCTTGCCTCTTTTCCCTCTTTTTCTGTCCTTTGTTTTTGGGTCCTCAATCTCCCCCGTGGCTGTTGGATCTTCATGTCTTAACAATAAAATAATATAATCTAGTAGCACTTGTCACTTATCCGGTCATTAATTCCCCATGATTTCTCTTCTTGTCCTGTGACTGCCACCCCACCCCAGCTCCGGGTTGTGGTCTCCAGTTTCCTGCGGCAGAGTGGCCGGCATGTGAGCCACCTGGACTTCCTTCACCTGACTGCACTGGGTTACACGCTCTGTGGACTGCGGCCAGAGGAGCTACAGCATATCAACAGTTGGGAATTTAGGTCACCTGTGGAGGGAGGGATGTGGGTGGTGATACTGAGGAGGGATGGATCATGAAGTGGTCCCATGGAGGAAGGGACTTTATCTGAAGCCATCCCTACCTCCATCTCATGACTATGGACCTGATTACCATAGCTGAATCCTTCTCCCTTCTCCTCTTCTACAGCCAAGCAGCTCTCTTCCTGGGCAACCTGCATCTCCAGTGCTCTGAGGACCAACTGGAAGTTCTGGCCCAACTCCTTGTGCTGCCTGGTGGTTTTGGCCCAGTCAGTAACTGGGGGCCTGAGATCTTCACTGAAATTGGTACAATAGCAGGTATGGAGGCTGGGCCACTGCTGGTGCTTGTTGTCAGGTGTTGGTTTCCATACCATGGGTGAACTGGGTGAACTGCTCTGGTAATCTCAAGGTGAGAGTCTGGGAGGCCATTTAAGTAAGAGGTTGAAGACATGTTGGGTAAGGTCTATGCTTGGAAGAAGTCTATAGGTTTGAAGAGAAGGGAAGAGGCCAGTCTAATACAACTTTTGAATGCCCATCCCACTTCAATAGCTGGGATCCCAGACCTGGCTCTTTCAGCACTGCTGCGGGGACAGATCCAGGGCCTTACCCCTCTTGCCATTTCTGTCATCCCTGCTCCTAAATTTGCTGTAAGTATTGATGGACCGGGGCCTGGGGTGACAAGAGAACCAGAGCCCAACAGAAGCTACACTGGACATACGAATTCCTGCCCCCTACCACAGGTGGTGTTCAACCCTACCCAACTGTCTAGTCTCACCAGTGTTCAGGCTATGGCTGTTACTCCTGAGCAAATGGCCTTTCTGAGTCCTGAGCAGCGAAGAGCAGTTGCATGGGCCCAGCATGAGGGGATGGAGATCCCAGAACACCAAGGTGAGTTCCCAACTGCACAACTTGATCCCCCATCTCCTGACCCAGAATCTGACCTCTAGCTTAATGCTATATGACTCTTAGAACCAATCCAAGGTGATCCCTGGCGTGAAGGGGTATAGACAGTTTCCATATATCAGTGGCTCCTGGGGAGCACAGTTGTGACATTGCTTCCATTCTCTGTCTCATTATAGGTCGAAGCACAGCTGGGTGCATCCAGGACTGGTCACTACCCTCCTGGGTTCTGGCATTAGTCATCTGCTTCCTTGGCAACCTGCTATAAGCCTGTCTCTACTGTTAAAGAGTAATTATTGGAAAAGAAACCTTAAGTCATAGTCAATAAAATGCAAATAAAAATATATTCTAATTATTTTCAGGAAACTAATGAGGAATATGGATAAAATGCTAATGCTTTCCACCCAACTGAGAATCAGTGTTCCTGGCATGCCATATTTGGAGTCTCATTCCATCAAAAATAACCCCACTGCCTCTTTTCCTTTCATGGAGGCTGTTTCCTCCTCATCCCATCATTAGAAATAACACAGACAGCTGGAGCATAGCAAGGTATCTTTACTAGGACAGAGGAAGTGGTGGGGGGTGGCATCCAGGGCAAGTGAAATGAGCTACCATTAGAACGGGCAGAAGTCGTGGAGATCTTGAGTCATCTGCTGAGGATGGGGAGTTAATGCTTGTTGTGGATGAGAGGTGGAGGAATGCGGATATCCTGGCCTCTCTCCAGACGCCGTTCACAGTCAATCAAATAGTTTACTCCATCGATGACCAGTTGCACCAGCTCCACCTAAACGGCACTAACCCTTGATCTCTGCTTCCCATAACCTGGCTTACTTTCTTTAGCACTGATTTGCCTGATTTGAGAACTCATTTCCTATGGCCTCCCCACTCAACCTGAATTTTATTTCAGATTCTATTATATTCCTGAGATTCACTCACTGTCATATCTCAAACCCCACAGACCTATACCTCTCCTTACCCTAATCCCTGAAGATCTTACCTCTGACTTGCCCAGTCGGTCCAAATTAGAGATGTCAAAGATGCTGCCTGTGGCAGCTGTGTCCACTCCTCCAGTACCACGCTTTTGGAGTCTTAGGTTCTCCAGGATCTTTGGGAAGCGGTTATCCTAGAGGGGAGATGGGATTGGGAGCAGGGTTAATAGGGGCAGAGACTGGTTCTACCTAAGAGGGCCCTGAACCTGCTCAGAGCTCTTTTCCAGATCCTTTAGCCACAATGTGTCTGGCTCCTTTCCAAAGTGCCCACTGCCTCATCCACACACAGCCACCTTCCTCACTCACCCCCCTCTTTAACCCAACTCCTTTACTTTGCTTAGCAAGGGCAGTTTGATGTGTACGCCAGCTCGTAGTCCAGTGCCCAGGTTCGATGGACAGGTCAAGATGTATCCCAAACGCTCATTCCACATGAATTCCCAGCCACGCTCCTGGATCAGCCGTTCGACCTGAATTCACAAAGGCTTTGTTAGTGAAAAGTCAGAAATATGTGGACCCTCCCTTAGCTAGACCCACAGGAACTCTAGAAATATGATCTAGAACCAGAAACCTGAGATGTGAAAAAATGACACTGCCCAGGTTTGTTGTGGCTGGTGGTGTTTTTTTGTTTGGGTTTTTTGGGGGGCAGAAATGGTTTGTTATCTTGCATACAAAGTAAGCCCTTAATGATGAGATTGCAGAAAAGTATCTTGTGTGTAGAAGAGAAACTTGTGGGAGTGATGCATTAAGGATGGTCTAGGTGTTGAACTGAACTGAGAAAGGGTTTATTATTCAATGAGCTCTACACTAATTGGTTATCTTTGTTTTGCTAATGAGTCTGGAGCTTGGGAGGATTCTTTCAGACAGAAAATGAGGGTGTAGGCTTAGAAAGAGGAAGAGGCAAGAGAGCCTTGTTAGTTGTGGAAGTTAGTGTTAGTATAAGCAGAGAAAAAGTGTAGAAAGGCCAGACTTATAGGTGTGTGTGTGTTTGTGTGTTCTGTGTGTGTGCGGGGGGGGGGGGGGGGCTGTTAGAAGGGTGTTTTTGTTTCACTTAAGTATCCTAGTCATGAAGATGACTATTAGAGTTGAAGAGATGGGATCTACCAGAGTGGTGGACTTTAAGACCACTACCTAACCTAAGTAAAGGGAATCCTGTTCATAGTTCAGAAAGAATCATGGCATAGGGGGTTAAATTGCATGTTGAACATGGGGAAAACCTTCCATTCTAGAATAATAACAGCAGCTAAACCTTATTGAACATTTACTATGGGCCACGTACTTTACATGCATTATCTCATTTAATCTCCACAACAACCTAAAATGTAGGAAGTCTATTTATCTCAATTTTATAGATGAGAAAATCAAAGCATGTAATTTAAAAAGTACTTCCCTACCCACTTACAGTCAGAATATGTTATCTATTCTTTCACAAAAACAGTAATGTCCTAGCTAGAATTCAAATAGAAGAGCTCTTTCTCTTTATAAGTCCAAAATAGAACTGTATAATGAGAACATACAATAAGAATTGGGCTCATGAGAATTCCTAATCTAGAATTGAATATGGAGACCCAATCCATATAGGATCGAGGATTCTGTTCAACCCTTTGTGTAGAGGCAAATATTCTGAAACTTATGCCAACTGATCCCACACCTTCTCTCCATCTCCCTCTCACTCTCAGTTTAAAATTTAGATATGATACTTTAACAGGAATGACAGAATCCAAAGTCGAGGCCTACCTCAGCTCAGAACTGGGTGGTTACATTAGAATCACGAACACACCAATCTCTCCCTGCATGCATCAATCCAGGTTCAAACATTTTCCTTATCTGCACGTCCCACCATCCCACACCACACACCTCAGGCACTGCCCCACCATCTGTTATTCTTTCTTCAGATTATCTGACAAATGCTTTATTTTTTTAGATTCTTGATATTCTCTCTTCCTAGTTTTAGGATGACCATATATCCTTGTTTCCCCTGGACAGTCCTGATTTGTATCTGCTAACCTGGAGTGATTGATGGTGATCCCTTTACTATTAAAAATGTCCTGGGTTGGTTGATAAATTATATGGTCAATCTACATGTGCTAGCATTTATTTTGTTCTCATGTTCCTCCACCTAATTCCCGTATACACTCTTTTCCAACCTCTTTGAGGCCTCGGCAGAATCTTTCAAACACTTTCTTCATGTTGCCACCCTTCTCCATGGAGATGACCCGTGTATGATCCTCCTCATTCACCCAGATCAGGAAGCTCTTCTCATTGTTGTGCCTGAGGGAAGGAGAGAGGGAAGGACAGGAATTAATAGGCAGGGCAAGAATTGGAGGAGGTAGGGGAAAAAGGCACTTATGGGGACATGGGACAAAAGAGGTAAGGTAAGCCTCATACCAGATCCCACGAGCATCTGGCCAGTCTCGAGCCATTCCTGCTGCAGTCAGCAACGGGGATACAGGCTTATCAAATAGGAAGTGGTCCTGGGGAGTAAAGGGACTTGGATTAAGAATTCCCACAGTTGCCCCCAGTCCTCTCAAAGCCCATCTATCTCATCTAGCCCAGCCTGCCCAATGACTCTTCTTTCCATCTGCTCCCCTCACCCAGCTCCCTCTCAAGGCCCCTCACATCAATAAGCTGCTGTTGTTCAGCCTCTGTCATTTCACTGAGCCGATAGTAACGACCAGCCAGGTCACCCTTCAGGCCACTTAGGGCGTCCACCACAACACGTTCCACCTCTCGTCGCTCTGCCCGAGTGCAAGCTGGAGGCAGACTGAGTCCCCGGATACTTCGGCCAGTTCTGACTCTTGAGGACAATACATACCTCTCATCAAAGTAGCCAGAACGAATCTGTAGAATAAGAGAAATTAATATAAGTTACATAAACACAGTAGGTGGAAACAGAGGGCCTTGGGGAGGCAAAGACCGGACTCCTCATTGCATGCATTGGAAGGAAAAGCCCTTTGGGCAAGCACTCCAACTGAAGAGGGCATTATGATCCCTCCCCAAAACTGCCCACTTAGTGGTATGGTCATTCTCATCCACCCTCTCCTCTCCATATCTGCTACTTAAAACACAATTCTTTCTCCACACCAAGACTAAAAGTTCAGCAGTATAATGATCACAAGTCAGGAAATAATTAAGGATTGGAGAAACAGAATGCTGTACATAAGGCAGTGCAAATCAGAAATGGAATATTTAGCCCACCTTGCTGGCATCCAGGTCAGTGGTGTGTTTCATTGTCCGGGGGTCATATCCATTGTGTCGCTCTTGGATAACAGGGTCAAACAGCTCAGCAAATACCTGAGGGGGAAGTAAGAGGGAGAGGATAGTTAAGGAGAGGGTATCCCCTCCCAGGCTTTAAATGTGTATTGATTTCACTGGGTCAGAAGACATAAGTATAGATGGTCCAGTTTCAAGGGTAAGTAAGGGGTTTTTAGGGAGAAGGAGCTGGGATTATTGGGAAGATGAGTTGGATCACCAGGAAAACTCTGAGGGCCCCCTACCTCATAGGTCTCCTCATCTCCAGCTACCATGCCCACAGTCTTGATGAAGGGGTGGCCGGGGTTGTCCACGCCAGTCTGGATACACTGATCTAGCGTCCAACCAGTGGGTGTGGTCTTGTCGCAGAGCCGGGCATAGACTGCTGGGGTCAGGTGACTAGCCATGCAGTTGTTGTGCTTTCGGAGGTCAGGGTACTCAGCACTAGGGAGGGGGTACCCAGTAACCATGGAGGGAGAGGACAGGTGGCCTAGACCTAGTGCAGCCAGTCAGCTAGGAGCTGTCCAGTTAGCAGTGTCTGGCTGTATTCCTTGGGAGGAGGGGAGATTATAGGGAAGCTAAACCTTGGTAATCTCATTAGGGAATATCAGGGCCAATTCTTTCCCAACAGTTCTAGTTTCCTTTGGCTGGCCAGCTCAGTATCTCCAGATCTGCTCAATTCTTTCATCCCATGAGCACATTAGAAATGGAGGAGGGGAAAGACTAAGGAGGGAAATTCAGGAAATGGGGGAGAACAACAAAAGGAGAGAGGGAGATCAAAAAGGATAGCTCCTGATCTCTCAACTAGGAATTTGGACAGAGTGGGAGCAGCCAGAACTCACAGGACCAGAGCTGGTTTTGGAGGTAGCGACTGCAGGTTACAGGTCCCCAGGAATGCTTTAGCCTTGTGATTTTAGTTTCCACCCCCACCCCACCGAGATCTTCAGACTGCACAGCACCCCATTTCAGAGCCTTTGTGATTATAGACCTTCTCTGTTGCCCGGGTACTCATCTCCATCCCCATCTTCGTTCCCAGTTCCCATCACCACTTCCCAGGGTGGGGGTAGGGGTGGGGGCTCAGACACTGATACCTCGGGGGATACAGCCTCCGTCGTTCACTGGCGGCTCGTACAGGTTCCGGGCGGAGCAGAAACCCAGCAGCTAGAGACCCAGCTCCAGCCAAAGCCAGGAGCCTGAGACCCGGGCGGGTGGATAGCAGACGAGAGAAGGGACCAGCCATGGCTTGAGGATCCTGCTCAGGAGCTTCGGAGCGGGAGCTGGCTCAGGGCAGGAACCGAGAGGGAGGATGCAACCAGGAGGACTGCGGGCCGGAACTGAGTGCAAGGCTGGAGCCGAAATGAGGCCCGGAGTGAAGGCTGGAGTGGGAGCCGGTACAACCAGACTGCAGGAAAGGCGCAGTGAGCTAGCGGGCGGAGAGGGAGGCCCAAGCCGCAGTCTCCAGGGGTGGGGCTCACCCAGACCCCGCCTTCCTGCCTGCCCCCAGGCTAGGTGTGTGGAGGCAGAGGTAGGCAGCATCCGCCAGGTAGGTTAGGGGAACCAGAGATTTGTACCCCTGGGATAAGGCTGCCTAGATTTCAGCACCAAGTAGAGGAACAGCACCCAAGGGGTCTGTTCGAACACCCTTCCCCCAAGCCTCTTGTTTTAATTGGAAACCCAATTCGTCACTTTTGGGGTGTGAAAGGGTTACATTGCCTAACCTCTTCTCTGTTTTCAGCCTGCTCCAGCAACCTCTCTGTATTCCCAGGGGAGGAAGCCACGAGGAAACCATAAAATAAACACAGATATTAGAGGAAGACGAAGACTCGGAGAAAGCACAGACAGGAAGACACGCGCTGGTTCAAGGTCACCTTTTCCTTAGAACCAGGAAGAGGACCAAAGCGCCTTACTTCATACCTGTGCTCTGGTTACAAAGTTGAGAATAATCAGGGAAACACGAACTCTTACCTCATCTATGCTGTGTTCCCCCACCCCGACCCTGCCCCCCAATCTGAAACTCTATGTCCTGCCTACACTTCTTAGGATCCCCTACTTTTCCTCCTTCCTCCACCCTCTTTCCCATCCCCCTTTTCACCTTCAATCTTTTACTTCTGGAAGTCTTTTCCAGGCTGCTCACAAGATTCCCTCTGAGTAGTCTCTGCAAGCTTGCTTACCTGTTGGTTGCACTGCGGTGGGGCTGGGACTGGGCAGAGAATTGTTAGTTTCCTCTTCCTCCTCTCCCCTCTCTGTAGCTTTCAGTTCCTGGACTAGAGTGAAGTGTAATGTGAGGTGTAGGGTGTGGTGAGATGATTGGGTGTAGGAATGGAACAGGCAGGCACAGGTCTCCATACACCACACGTATTTCTTCTCTCAGCTTCTTAATGCTGTTTAATCCAGAATGTAAGGGGGAGTGGTGCCCAAGGGCATAAAGTCTCCAGTGAATCTCCACCTTTCTTCTGGTCCCCTCTCTTCCTCTCTTTCCTCACATTTAAGAGGGCTTTGTTCCCACAGCTCCAAGTGTGACTTTGGTGTGACTTGACGTTTGTTTTGGCAGAAAGGAGAATGTTGGAGACGAATAGAGATGTGGGACTTCAGTATGAAGGGTTGGTTAATGTGGGGGAGGTATGGTGGCATTATTTCCTTCCCTCAGCTATCTTGGTGTGCCCACAAGACAGCAAGATACTTGAAAATCTTAGAGGAGAGTATTTGAGAAATAAATTCCTTTTGCATTGTCCTCTGGCCTCAAAGATGAGATCCCACCCTACCTTTATACTCTCATTCCCTTCATTCCTCTCAGGCTTCGTGTGTGTGTGTGTGTGTGTGTGTGTGTGTGTGTGTGTTTTCTGCCTTCCTCATTTGTGGGTATCCTTATAAGTCATCCACCTCTCTTTTGAGTCCATCACTTAACTCCTTTTTCTCCTGGTAAGAGAGCAATTATCAAATTCTGACGAGATCAGGTGCGTTCAGGGTGGCATGGCCATAAACTCCATTATCAAATTCTGTAGTTGAAGTGTGGTCACTCTTGGAGAGGCACAAAATATTACCTGTGTTGTGAGGGCTCATTGCTTAGATTGAGGAGTAGCTATGAAAAAGCAAATATAATTACTTGGAATGGTATATAGTTACTCTGATAAAGGAGGGAGATAATCTTTCAGAACAGTAGGATTAATTGAGAGGGTGGTTACTATGATTAAAGAGGTAGGAAGCAGGACTAGAGAATTGCAAAAGGAAAAATAAGACTTGCCTAGAGGAGTAAAGAAATCACTCAAGCCCTGGCTGGACAGTTCAGTTGGTTAGAGTGTCACCCTAATATGCACCAAGGTTGGGGGTTCAATCCCAGTCAGGGTACAAGAATCAACCAATGAATGCATAAATAAGTGGAACAATGGGTCAATGTTTCTCTCTCTCTCAAATTAAAAAAAGAAATTACTCAACACGTGGTTTTTAATTTATTTAATAATTATTATCAATAATATTTAATACTTATAAAGCACTTTACAAGGAACTCTTGTATATTATTTCGTTGAATTGAATCGTATTGTTCTGATGGATGACTAGAAACTGAGTCTACATTTTCAGGAGGATGAGAAGACAAGTTAATTTCCTAGATGTTTTAATAACTTGTTCAAAGGGTTGGAGTGGTTGAAGGGATAAGCTTGAGCATGAACTAAGTAAGTATCTATTTCTCTTAGGGCCAGTCCTTAGAATCATCTCTATTCCTTTTGGGAAGCCTTGGAGTCAGTATAATAGGCAGCTGACTGAAAAAGTGGTAAGATCTCAAAGGGTGCAGAGAAGAAACAATGAACTTGGAATTGTTTTGATCAGGGAAATCTAAGTGAGACTGCAAAGATAATAACAATACAAACAAACAAAATGCTTTCATATAATCAGTACCCTATGAGTTAGGTTTTTAATCCCACTCTTTTACAGATTAGAAAACAGAGGCTGAGGAAAATTCAGTGACTTGTCCAAGGCTGCACAGCTATTAAAGACAAGGCCAGGAGTAAAAGTTTGGAGCATAGAGAGCAAGCAAAGTGAGGAGATAGGAATCAACTTGTTTAGTCTTCCATGTCTAACCATTTACTTACTCCTTCATAAATAAGTCTCTCCATTCCTTCTCTTAACTTTCTGATCTGTTTCTCTCTTTGTCTCTGTTTTTGACTCTAGTCTCCCCTTCACTCGTCTACACTGTTAACATTTTCAACTTATATTTATTGGATCTCTACGTATATCATACTACGTTGTTTTTGTTTGTTTGTTTACAAAACAAAAAGACCTGTTTTAACCTCAAGGAGGTGCAACGACAGAAACTCTGCCTCTTCCTCTGCATGGTGCTTTCTCCCTCTTTGTCAGCTCTCTGGAAAGTCTAGACTAGCAGTTCTCAACCTGTGGGTTGTGACCCCTTTGGGGGTCAAATGACCCTTTCACAGGGGTCGCCTAAGACATAACAGTAGCAAAATTATAGTTATGAAGTAGCAACAAACATAATTTTATGGTTGGGGTCACCACAACATGAGGAACCATATTAAAGTGTCACGGCATTAAGAAGGTTGAGAACCACTAGTCTAGACCAAGCATCTGGATTGTGGCCACGCAGTTAGAAATCCGAAGGAGCACCAGGTCGCACTTCCTCCACAGAGCCACTAGGGGCCACCCTCCCCCGCACAGAAGCGCCGGCCAACGCAGCCTGACTCTTGCCGGTGCGCGCCCTCCTCTGATTGGTGGCAGGGAAGAGAAGTCGCGCTTTGATTGGGCTGCTGTCAGGTGTTGCTGCCGACAGGTTCGGCTGCGCGAGCGCAGGGAGGCGGGTGAGTGAGGGCCGGGGGCGGTGGGGGAGTGGCTGGGGGCTGGGGGCGGTATCTGAGGGGGTGGGCTGGGTAGAGTGGGCTTGATTGGTGCTGAGGGCGGTGGTTAGTGCTGGCTGGGGGCAGCTGCGAAAATACACCCAGCGGAGAGGCCTCAATGTCAGCGGAGGGAGAGTGAGCCGGGCGGGCGGGCGGGGGCGGGCAGAGGCTAGTGGAGTCGGGCTAGGAGGGCGGTATTCGTGCCCGGGAGCTGTGCGAGGAGAGGGCGGAGGAGGGGGTCGGCGGGAGAGGAGAGAGGAGGCGCGCGTGTGAGGGTCTGCGTGACGAGAGTTGGCATGGGAGGTCAGGGCGGGGAGTCTGAGGAGGGGAGCGGGGTCAGGCTAGAGGGTCAGCGTGAGGAAGGGGTTGTTGCAGAGGGTGAAGGTGAGTCTGGAGAGGGGTAGTGTGAGGAAAGAATGGATCTCGGGCAGCCCAAGGGTTCCATGTAAATATGTGACCAAGTGTGGTGACTCATCTGAGGGTTTGGAGGACTATTTAATGCTGGGAACTGGTGAGAGGTTAGTTGGATTATTATTTGGATTAGTTGATCAGTGATGGGAGTGGTTAGGGGAGTCAGTGAAGAGCCATTTTCAGCAAGTTGGGGAAAGAAGGCAATAGGAGTGAGTTGATCCTGAGGAGGAGGCATCAGCACAATTCATCGGTGTCAGGGTACGGATATGTGTGGAGGATCAAGGATGGTGCATCAAGAAGGAGCTCAGGGGTTCACTGTTGAAGGTGGGAAGGAGATAGTGTCGGTGGCCTAGGGAGTTTCACTGTGTTGGAAGTATTCCTGCCTGAACTCAGTATTGGTGTTTCCCCTTCGCCCCTAATGGGGTTCTCCATCAAGTGTTTGGTGATTAAGGAAATTGGAGGACTACTGCAAGCCGCCCTAAATTCTAAGGGGTAAAGTTACACAGTTTACCCTCCTTTCTACCCCGTCTCCAGATTTGATTTAAGATAGATGTTCCTCCATGGCCGGTTGGGCTCAGCAGTTACAGGGTCGGCCTGCGGTCCAGAGAGACCCGGGTTCGGTTCCCGCTAAGGGCACGTACCTCGGTTGTGGTTTGTCCCCGGCCCTGGTTGGGTCGTGCGGGTGGCAGCCACTCAATGTGTCTCTCTCATGTCGATGTTTCTCTCTCTCTCCCTCCCACTCTGTCTGAACAAAAATTGGAAAAATGTCTTAGGGTGAGGATAAAACAAAATAATAAGATAGATGTTCCTGCCCTGGCCGGTTTGGCTCAGGGGCTAGAGCATCGGCCTGCGGAAAGGAGAGTCTGGGGTTCGGTTCCCACTAAGGGCACGTACCTTGGCTGCGGTTTGTCCTCGGCCCTGGTTGGGGTTCTGTGGGTGGCAGCCAGTTGATGTGTCTCTCTCACATCCATGTTTCTCTCTCTCTCTCTCTTCCTCCCTCTCTCCCTCCTGCTCTGTTTGAGATAAATGCAAAAATGTCCTCTGGTCAAAAGTGTCCTTGGGTGAGGATAAAAAAAAAAAAAAAAGATAGATGTTCCTGAGAAGATTGTCCACCTGTCACTCCCTCTCTCCTTACCTACTGAGCTCCTTCCTCCCTCCCTCCATTCCTTCCTTTCTTCCACAGGGATATTGGCCAGAGTAAGACTGCCCGTTAACCAAATGTAGAGTCTGAAGTTTTCTTTTCTTTCACAACAAAGTATTGGGTGAGAGGGAATGGGAGAAGAGCACAGAAAACAGGGGAATGACTCTTGGAACACCACATTAAGCCCCAGCTTCTCCCAGAGGTACATCTAAATAAATCCTCGATTATTTCATAGCTATTTCTGTCAGGCTTCTATTTTTGCTTTGTTAATTATGAATTTAGATGTCTTATCTCTCTTGTGAACAGACTCTTCTTCCTCCTTCTATTACCATCTCATTATAGATTTGTAATAGAATTTCAAGAACATGACTGTATATTCAGTAGAAAACCAGGAAGGACTTAGTGTAAGAAAGGGTGAAAGGTTAGGAATCTTAGACATGAGAAAAAGTCCTTGCTTCAGAGAAAGGATAAAGATTGCAACAAAGTTCTACTTGCTTAAACTATACAGGGACCATGGGAATGCCCCAAGTCATGGAAATTGGGTCAGATCACTGAAATGGGTTTCAAAGAAACAGCCTATTAATTAGGAGGGAGAGTATATGTATAAGGCCTCAGTGTACAACTGGAATGTTAAGTCTGAGGAGAATGTTGTGCCCCAGGGTGGTTGAGCAGGGGAGACAAACAGACGGTGAAGACTGGCAAGGTCTAGGTTTATATAAAGGTTAACCACAACTTTCTAATCAAAGCTGCAACTCCACTTGTAATGGAAGGGTTTAAATAAAAAGATAGGAAGTAACTATTATTGAAGACTATTTTAAAATTCTATAAGACTAAATTAATCCATTTACTAAAGGAGTTTGAGGCTTTCTTCAGAGTCATTGGGCAGTATTTCTGAGAACTTTTGGAGAATGAGGAAAATTACTGATGTGTGACTCAATTTTGTTTTTTTGGGAAAAAAGTAATAGATACCCATATCCACACAATTTAGTATTAATAAATGTTAATACTTTTGTATATTTGCTTCAGATTTTTTAATTTAAAATAAACATTATAGATAAGATTGTGAAGTTCCATTCGAATTCTTGT